TAACCTTTATTAAGATAATAAACTATTGCTAGTGCCAACAATGATTCGCAATGACGCGAAAAAGCTTACACAAATTGTGTACAAATAAATTGATAAATCAAATACTAATGTCCAACAATTAATAAAACAAAATACAGTTGTAACTAGAAAATAATAAGAATTAAAACACATATTATCTTTTGTGACTATTTATAAATTTAGGAATGTGGGATTCTCAGCGGTTTCACTTTTTTCACATTCAGAAATGCATTCAATTGGTCTCTTACAAAACATATAATCTTCAGGATTAAGGCTATAGTACCTATTGAAAAGATGACCCCTAGCATTTTTGTTAATAAAAATCTTTCCATGAAAACGTGGATTACAAACTTCACGAAGGACGCCCATCTTAGCAATAAAATCATCTTCATTTACATAATGTTCAATGCATTTAATCAAGCCTCTTGGATTTATAAACTCTCTAGAAATATTTGCAAACGTGTAAACCTCAAGTTTCTCAAGAAGGTTTTCACTGTAAGCATCTTTTTCTGAATAGCTCAACTCCCAGTATAATTTTTTTATGACCAAATTTGCAATGACACTACCCTCAGAATGTGCGATTAATCTAACTTTTTTAATATTTTCATCTTTAAGGGCTTTGAAAATATTCCATGAAGCCCAACGTACCGGTATTGATTCATCATCAAAACTTCTCGCGAGGATAGTTTCAGCTGTATCCAAAAAAATACCATAACTGCTATTAAAAATGCCCGTAACACCTCTATTGAAACGATGTTCTAAACGTTTGCAATTTTCATCTAGCCAATGGTTATTTACCATGACACCGTTAATAAAAAACCATCTTTCATCATTGTGCTCTTCTACATTTATCGAAGGTCTACGACTTTCTTCTTCTTTTGATAACATCTCATTAATTGGGTAGAGAATAATAGAAGGAATCGTGTGGCAAACACACCATAACTGGAACAGTATACTTTTCCAATTATTCCAATACGATAAATCGAGTTCATTAATTCCCTTATGTGGATCTCTAGGGTCATTGAAACGTATCCCGAGAATGCTATTATCGAGTAAGAATTTTATTACATCAATCCAATGATAAATGATGAACAAAATGTCTTCACGAACGTATTTCCAAGGGTTATCCATATGTTCGCCTGCCACCATACAGCATTGATTATAATATTCCGTCAATTTTGGCGTATTACTTGCATGTGAGCCGTCAGCTTCCGATGTCTTAAAAGGATTTTCATTTCTCGCCAACTTGGTAAAAAAACTTTGGGCTTTTGACATTTTATTTTCTTATCTTTACGTGAATTTTAATCTTTCAATAATATAAAGTGAAGTTTTTATTTCCGTTCAAAGAATTAAATGTTTTTTTTTTCATTTTGAAATCATATTTTTATATTATTTATGGTCATACAAAATTTTTTCCAAAAAAATTTTAACTAGTTTTTAGGTTAAAAAAATTTTGGACACCAAACGTAAATTTAAAAATAATTACTAACTTTTACGTATATGATGCAACTGAAATCATCTTGGCAAATATTTAATTCGTATTCGGATGTGAAATTCTCGCCACTTATGTACTTTCAGGCTTTTATGGTGAAATTAAAACCATCTTTAAAAAACATTAATTCGCATTCGGATATGAACTTTCAGCCACGTACAGTAGCCACCAAAAGTAACGCCCGATTTGCAGATCATCTCACATGAGCAAATAAAACGGCTGTGTTTACC